ATTTTTTCTATAATTAGTATCATTGTCCTTTTCATGGGTCTGAAATTTTTCGTCTAAAGGGGGAGCTAGTTTTGCTTTTGCCTTGTTTTGGGTTACGTGAATTAATGCTTTTCTTTGCATATTCTTAGCTGGGGGAAGAAGGTATTTGTCTGCATATCCTGCATATTGTGATGGAAGTGACAAAAATTAGAACATTTTCATCCACAGTTGAAATTCCAAGATGATGATTGATTGAATTAGAAATTTCTCATAGCCCACTTGCAAAGCTAAGAATGATCAATTTTCACACACCATGAAATTATGAGAATAAAATAATCTTAAAATCTGTGTTATGGAGTCTATGACCCCTGGAAAAACACCATTGGCCCCATCAGATTATAATTAGTTAAATTTATTAAGCTGCTACACAACAACAATCTCTGAGCCAAACTAGAAATTTTCATTCAAAATGGGGAGAGGAGTTTTTAAAGGTAAAACCACAAGAAGACCTTGAGTGTGTTTACAAGCAAGCCAAGAGCTTGTTCTGTCCTGCCAAGATAAGGTAGTGAAGGCAACCTCAAACTAGTCCTTGACTGTCTGCACAAGCAGGTTACAGAAGCCGAGAAGGAGTTAGTCCTATCATGACAAGCAGAGTGATGGCTGTACATTTTTTGGGTGGGGGCCACTGAGTCCAGGTTACTAGGAACTTATCTTCCAGGGCCTAGAGTCAGAGACAAATGCCTAGTGGGTACCAAAATGGATGCCCAACATAAAGTGGAGTTTCTTTAGCCATCACACTGTCCCTGAAGGACTCATAGAAAAGTGTGTTCTGAGGACTCTGCATTCTTTAACTACCATTACTATCTAATGGCAGCTACATTCTGCAGTTCCCTATTAAAGAAGGCCTCAGAATGTATCCCCAAAAACATGAGCTTAAAATCCATCTTAAACTTAAGCTTAAGACCGCCATCTTAAACGTTTGTTGACATTAGTGAAGGCTTTGAGAACGATGGCTATCATGCCTTGGCCCAGTTATCTCAATATGAACAGTTTAAAAGTACTTCTAATTAGTTGAGCCAACTTTTTAAGTTATGCTACATGTAAGATTACAATAAAGGCACTTTTTCCTGTATTATGATTTGTCCTCTCTATAAGTCAGAAGCAAGGAAAGATAAGCTTTACATTTTAGTACCTTTGTCCAGTGAATTTTGTTTTTCTTTACAAAACTCAAACTCATTCATTAGAGGCATATTAATTGGCTTAGCAGTTTAAGGAACAGTTTAGAAAATTTGTGGCTTTTTTGAGATTATCATTCTCTTGAAGTGCAAGTGTTTTAAAGTAGCATCTTTGTCATTTTACACACTTTTGTAATTAGAGTGCTGTTTTTTTATGTAATTTTGACTTGTTTTTTTTTTTTTTCTATTTGTATTTGTTTATGTAATTTGAGGAGGAATACTGACGATGAATCCTGGATGATACTAACAAACTAATAACTGCAGAGGATTTTTTTAAAAACGTTTTTCCCTAGTAATTCCTATTTCAAATCTTACATCAAAGCCTTTGATCTCTGGGTTGACTTTTGCTCATCCAGCACTGCTTGTTTAAATGGTTGTCACTGTTTTCTGCTGTAGCCCTTTGTCCTCTTTTCAGTAATCAGGGAGCTGAAGATACTTAAGCTTATTTCTGAATCTCCTATTCTCATCCTTTGGGCTCCGTGTTGTTTGCACAGAGCTACTTTTGTCCAGACAGCTCTTCCGTCGAGCTCAGAGTCGGGTGTTGTGTTAACTTCTAGCATTAATCTTTGTGCTCAGCATCGCTTTGGGTAGTCATAGTCTCTCGTGTTCCCCGATGAACTTTGGGATTTTTCTGTGGCTGTGAGGGATGTCATTTTAATTTTGGTAGGATTGCTTCAAATCTGTTACCATTTTTGGCAATGTGGCCATTTTAATAATATTGTATTGCCAAACAAAGAAAGTGGGAAGGTGGGTTGTTTGGTTTTTTGGGTTTTTTTTTTCCCATTTTCTAGTTTCTCAGATTTCTTTATTTGGTGATTTATAGCCTTCACTGTAAAAATATTTAGCATTTTGTTTTACACCTAACCATTTCCTTTTGTGAAGTTATTGCAAACTTGAGTCTTTTCCTGAATGCTTTCCCAGTGAGTATGTTGTTTGTGTGTAGAAGAGCTCCTGGCTTTTTACGTTATTGACTTTGTATTCTGCTATTTTGTTGGAAGTATTTATCATATCTCAGACACTTCTGATAAAGACTTGAGGGTCGTCTTTTGAGGATAGAATCATGTCATCTGCAAACAGGGATAATTTGACTTTTCCCTTTCCTATTTGTGCCCAGTGTATTTCTCTCTCTTGCACCAACCATAATTTCAAGCACTTATGCAAGAATGGTCTCAACAAATAAGCTTGTCCTGTTCCTGATTTTAGGGGAAAGGCGTTCAGGGTTTTTACTCAGTCGATATAAACACTGGCTATAGGTCTACAGTCCTACCTACCCTGAGGGGTGGCCCCTTGAGCTCAACTTTCTATAGAGATTTTTATTATGAAGAGATGCCAGTTTTTGTCAAGGCCCTTTCTGCATCTGTTCAGTGGTTCCGTAGTTCTCATCTGTGGTTCTGTACAATGCATTATGCTCATTTTTTTGCACATGCTGAATCACCCTGTAATGAATACAACTTCATCGTGATACACGATCTTTTCAATATGCTGAATTCCGTCGACAGGTTTCTCGTTCCTATTGAAATCTTTTACATCTGTGTTTGTCAAGGAAATTGGCCTTCAGCCATCTCCTTTTCCTCCTCTTTCCTCCTCTGGTTTCAGTCTCAGGTGTATCTTTATGAGTTTGGAGATGTTTATTCCCTATTTATGTTGGGAAAACCTCAGAAGAATTGGTGTTTGTTCTTTAAAGGGCCTGGGATCATTCGTCAGGGAATCTTTCTGGTCATGAACTTGGAGGCTGTTTTATTAGTTTCAGTCTAATAAACAACAATAATTGATCATTATTGCTCTGTTCAGGGGTTTGTTTGTTTTTTGCATCTTCCTAATTCAATTGTTGGTAGCTGTGTCTAGAAACATATCAATTTCTCCTCCATTTTTAAATTTATTAGCATGTGACTGTTGAAAGAATCCTACTGACCTGGATTTCAGTATTGCCTGCTGTAGTATCACATTTTTATCACTAACTTTATCAGTGTCTCTTCTTTCTTTTGCCAGTTTTGTGAAAAGTCTGCCAATTTTACACATCCTTTCCAAAGAGAACTCTTTGCTTCACTTATCTGTTACATTGTTCATTTACTTTTCCTTTCATTAATTTCAGCTTTGATCTTTTCTTTTCCTTCTATTTTGAGATGGGCTTGCTCTTGTTTTCCTAAGGACTTTAGGTGTGTTGTCAGGTTTTTTATTTGAGATCTGACTTTTTTTTTTTTTTTTTTTTTTACACTTACATGTTTATTTGTGTAGGCATGGCACATGTCATGGTGTAAGTCAGAAGGCAGCTTGTAGAAATGGGTTCTCCTTTCCACACGGTGGATCCTGGGCATCTAAAGCACGCGCACCTCAGGCTGGCCTTTACCCACTGTGCCATCTTATCAGCCCCGCTCTGCCCTTTTTTTATTTTGTTTTCTTTTTCAAGACAGGGTTTCTCTGTGTAGCCCTGGCTGTCCTGGACTCACTCGGTAGACCAGGCTGTCCTCGAACTCACAGAGATCTACCTACGTCTGCCAACCTGTGCTGGGATCACAGACATGCACCATCGTGCCCAGCTCCACTCTGACTTATTAATATAGGTTATTCACAGCTATACGTTTCCAAGAATCACTTCCGTTGCATCCCACAGGCCCTGTGCTGTTTGTTGTCACTTCCATTTCAGTGTAAAAATATTTTTAATTTTACAAAATACTTGGGAGAAACTTTTTTCATATTTAGAGCTCTAAAATCCCCATGTATAATATTAGGAATGAAGTTTTATCATTTCCCAAATGGCTAACCAGATCCCATTTAGCAATCTTCACCACAATAAAATTTGAAATTTCCCCTTTCTGAAATAGACTGTTTAAAATTGAGTGTAGTTTTACTATTATGTTACATTAGCTATTCATATGCCATATGATAGATGCTTATGGGGTATCTCCATACTGCTCGGAAGTGCTTCCTGGCTCAGAAGTGTTTCAGGAAGCACTTCTGAGCAGTAATTCTGCAGCAATTTTTACATTGCCTGTTAAGTCTTCCCATATGAATTCTGAGGTTAATTTGTAGTCTGTATCAACACACAAACCCTCATTGGAATTCTTGTCAGATTGAATATTGTGAATTGCAGTTTGTGAGGCGTTTCCATTACACTGAGATATTCTAACCAAGAAGGAGGATACCCTTTCATTTGTTGAGCTCTTTGTTACTTTGAATGTTATGGTTTGTAGGGGTTTCTTACTGGCCTATCCTGTATTAATATTACTCCTAAATATTTTGTCTTAATCCAATGTTACCAAAATTGGAGTAACCAACCAATTGGGGAGCATGATACCCTTGTGACAATTATTACCACAGGACCCAGTTAATAACAGTTATTTTGGGTGCTGGGGTCGTAGCTCAACTGTGGAATCGTTTGCCAACATACGCGACGAGATCCTGGCTCACGTCTCCGGCACTGCAAAAACAAAAGCAAGCAAGCAAAAAAGCCATTTTGTGCTCTGGAGGTGTCAGGAGCCAGGTGTATTGAATTCCAGTTCAGACATGGTTAGTACTAAAGAATATATATTTTGGTGTTTTGTTTTTGTTTTGTTTTCCCAAAGCTGAGTAGCTGTGGTTGTGTGACCCTTTCTACAAAACTCTACTGTTTATTTCATGTGTGGTTTCCTACTATCCCAACTAAAAGTCTTGTTATGCTTGCATCACCAAGCCTGCGTAGTTTCGTATTTATCTAGGGGTGCTGTATCAAAAAAGAAACACAAGGTCGGATTTTGTTTTTTTCTATTTTTAATTTATATATCACTATTTTCAGTGAGTGGACAAAAACAAAACAAAAAAGAAGAAAAACAAAACCCTTGCATTTTTAACTCCACTTCAGGGGATCCAATGCCCTCTTGAGGCCTCCACAGGCATCTGCACACGCACGCACACACACACACACACACACACACACACACACACACACACAAATAAATCTTGGAAAAACAGAGCTGTGTGGATGTGTAGATAAGGGAGTTTGATGAAGGATAACTAATACGAAAGACTTCTGAGAGTGCCACACGGAAACTTGTACTTCAGAAGCTTCCTGAGGCATATACACAGGCATATATAAAGGGGAGGGGAGCAAAGGGAGTCACCCTCTAACAGGTGACAATGCCTCTCCCACATACCACTGGCTATCAAAAAGTTTAGTGCCAGGTATGGCTTACCTGAAGTTGTTGGTCAATGAGGGTTAGACACCACTCCCTCAAAAAGGTTATGGCAAGTGCCATTGTTCTGAGCTATTCAGAACTTGATAGTAAAATACTATTGCTCGAACCACTATCTGCCTGTGTCACGGGACATGGAGAAATGAAGCTGGTAACAGTGTGAAAATTCCATCCCTCCTGGAGAGCTTTCAGCATGCTAGAAAGTTCTATGCACACGATCGGGGGAGAAAAAAAATCATCAACCATCTTACCTAGGTGTGAGCCCCGCAAGCTACCACAATGACTGACCCAGCAAGACACGCTCAGTCATGCAACTGTGGCATGAATGTTACGGAAGTAACCGGCTACTTTCTCCTTGGCTGTGAAGCCCGCTCCACAGATGGAGCCCGTGATGGGTGCCAAAAATACTCCATTGGCTAAGTCATTGGCCCTGTGGCAGAACCCACTATACTGTTAGACTGCTGAGTAATAAACTTTTAGCCCCAGATTTCTTATTTTTACACCTACGTATTTGCGCACTTCTCAACCCTCATCTGAGAATCTTCTTTTTGCCGTAGCTGGAAATTAATATAAAGGCCCACAAAAAGGGGTTGGGGGAGGGGCAGAGAGATTATAAGAGCCAGAGGGAGGCTCTGGAGCAAAACAGTGTTTGTGCCAGACAGGACAGTACAGCTGCACACGTGAACGCTCAGCCATGCAACTGGATGCACAAGACTTTGAACATGACCCAGCCTAAACTCCCTAGCATGGCTGGGGAAGTGGTGTGGTGATTTGAACGAGAAGCTGTACCCCAGACTCTCGGGAGTTTGAACACTGGGTCCCCACTTGGCAGTGCTGTTTGGGGACAGTTGGGAGGTTCAGCCTTGCTGGAGGAAGCATGTTCCTGGGGTGAGCTTTTAAGAGTGCTGTGCTCTACACCCCGAGCTAACAGCAAAGCACGAGCCCTCGGCATCCCGCCCAGCCGCCATGCCTGCCTCATTAGCAAGCCTCCAGGCCACCATCACAGACTCTTCATCCCTCTGGAGACGTCACTCAACATGAACTCTCTCGTGCTTAGGTTCCCTCTGGTTGTGGTGTTTTATCACAGCAACAGAAAAGCAACTAGAACCATGGTTATTAAATTTTCTTTTAAGACAGAAAGCACATAAAGTTGGAAAGGAAAAGCTTGCTGGAGAGAGGAGGAATTAGATGAAAGGGAACAAGAGGTAGATTTGATCAAACTACTGAGGTAAATGGTAGATACATATGTTGGTGTCCACTTCGAAAATGAAATTTTTAAAACTTTTGATGTGAGCCGATTCCACACCACATACACATGTCACTCTCAGTCCAGGCCACTTGAGAAGATTAGGCAAAGAGGCTCAGAAGTAAGGTCCCATCCCCAAATATTCCTAGCCCCCCCCCACCCCCGTCAGGCTGGCCAGGATACCAAGCAAGCCTGGACATCCCCAGGTGCATGGCAGGGCCAGTGATACCCATTTACCATTCTTCCATCCATCCTCCCCAGGCTCTGACTCTTCCACACTGAAATCGTTTGGTTTCATTCTGGGGAAACCTCACCTGAGCCAGGAAACCTTCCAAGTCCTGACCGATCCTATGGTGAATGTGACGTCATGGGGACCAGGCTGGGGCCAAACCTAGAGTGTGTACTTTTCAGGATTAAGGACCTTTGACTCTGAAGATTAGAGAAAAGGGACTTGAGAAGTATTGCCTGGGGCTAGATGTAAAAGGTGGGTGGCCTCGGACGCTTCACTCCTGGCTGGAGGACTAAGGAAGTTTGTGACTGAAGGGTGTGACTCCTCAGGCTGGACACTGGCATGAGGGCACAGCTAAATGAGACGAGCCTTCGGAGTGCACACAGGATAAAAACAAATGCCTGGCTGGGCAGTGGTGGCACAGGCCCTTAATCCCAATACTAGGGCGTCAGAGACAGGCAAATCTCCAAATTTGAGGCCAGCATGGTCCATGTAGTGAGTTCCAGGACAGTCACACTGGAGAACCTTTCAAGAAAGTGAGGTTCAAGACATTACTCACTTTAAAGAGGAAGGACCCAGAATGAATGTGCAGTGTAAATGCTCCACGGCTCCCAAGAAGTTCAATGCCCGAGAATACTCCACAGTAGATCACAGTGTGGTCTATAGCTGGGTGAGCAGCTTTTCAGAGAACCAGTTTATTTAAAGAGTATGAAGTACAGAGGGCTGCCATGAAAAAAGCACACATCGAGTACCTCGTGATGGGTGAGGAAATGCAACTCTCCTCCCTCCCCATCAGAAAAGCAGAGCATTTACTAGTGGTTCCTGACATCTTTACCACGGTGGAGGAAGGGAATGGTCAAGAACATCTCATGGCCGGAGCTGATGGCTAGTCACAACTTTGGGAACGGAGGGAGAATACTGTTGTGTTGAACCATGTCCCACTCCAAGCTCGGTTCATGTGTTAAAGCTGCGATGATGTGATTGTGTTTGGAGGTAGAACATTTAAAGAGGTCCAGAAATGTGTAAGGTCTGGGCCTAATCTAATATGAAGTGTCTTTGTAAGACTGGAAAGGTCGGGCATTGTTGCACAGACGTGTAAACCCAGCATTGGGGAGGAAGGTAAGAGTGGGGTTTGACGCCAGTCTTGGCTACATGGTCAGCTCAGGGCCTTCCTGGGCTACATGAGACCCTGTCTCAAAAAAATGAAGGTAGGAAGGGATGGGGTTGGGGGCAAGAATGGGGAAAGAGAAGGAATGGGGAAAGTGCTATGGTAACCCTAGCTAATACGGATTTTAGAACCAAGAGTGAGATATTGTCATAACAAACCTAAAAATGTGTTCATGCTTGGAATTATGTATGTGGAGGCTAGACTCCGTTTGAGGCGCATGTGTGAAGTAATTCTGACAAGGTCTCAGACAGGCATCAGATACACCGGACTTAAAAACCGGTATCCTACAGTGAGAATTCTAAAATTTCAGTTTCTTTTTAAAAACACGGAAATGTTCTAAAAATGTTTTTGTTTGCATCCCAGGCGTGCTGACAGGAGCTGCCCCCAGCAGGTGACTATCATTCGCCTCGTGCTCTAGCAGAAGCGTGGTTTTGCCAGCTGCAGGTACATTCTTCCATTGTTTGACATGAGGGATTCTGGGACTTTTTCAGAGGGTACATAAATGCTAGGGCGAAGCTAGGTGGAGGTGGTTGTAGTTCGTTAGCAGTCGTACTCAAAGAAAAAAACAGATTAGAAACGGATCTCTCTCTTCCTTCCTCCCTCCTTCCCTCTAGCCTTCTTTCCCAGCTGCTGACAGGGGCTGGGGGAGGATGACGGGTGGAAAAAGACTGGGTACAGTACCCTTGCTATACAGCGGCAAGGAACTTGGCTGAATTGAGTGCTCGCGTATCACAGGATGGAGTGTTTATCGTCACTAGCGAGTACACAGGCCACAGTGTGTCTGGAGGTCAGAGGGTAACTGTGGAGCTGGTTCTCTCCTTCTGTGCAGATTCCAGGGATCAAACTCAGGTCCCCAGGCTTCTGTGCCACATGCCTTTATCTGCTGAGCCATCTTGATGGCCCCAAAAGGGGGTATTTTAAGAACTGTAAGTACAAAATACTCAGATGAAAGCCCTACAGATTATCAAAGTGTGGCCTTACTTGCTCTTGCTGCAACTAACAAAACATGAGGGCAGAGATAAGTTCAGGGAATTATTGAGCAAAAAGTGATTAGATCTTTAAAATTACATTTAAAAAGTAACTAAAGTTAGAGAAGGTCATCTGGTCCTGCACCAGAAAAGCTTGTACAGGAGAGAGGGTCCTGTGCCAGTATGGCGAAGCAGGAAGGCATCCAACAGCTGTGGAGAGGTGTGGGGCCACACCTGAGCCAGCCTGACAAATGACTCCCAGGCTCCACGTAATGTGACAAAGTAAGTTTCTGTTTGTTTTGTTTTGCAGTACTTTGTTAGGGAGCCTTAGAAAACTAACACATACTGCTAACTGAAGAAAGTAAACCATAAACCAATGATTTCATGAACAAGCAAGGATATTCCCCCTACTCCATTTCAGGAAAGTGGAACAGTCACTAGTGATTTCTGCCAGCCTTACGCTCCTGGGGAAAGGAAGACAACAGGCCAGCCAAACACTTCTCCTGCTCGGAGTTGATGTCTGCGGAGGTCAAACTTCCGGCTAACGCCACCCCCACAATCCCTGCACACCGAGGACTTCTTCCCAGAGTACGGCTAAAGAGGGCAGAGTTAAAACCAAACCGAATGGCTTCCCTACAGACTGGCCTGAGTCCTCTAGCCAGAGGTGACACCCCATGCAGCCCCTAACCTCACAGGATGTCCACAGGAGGCTCCTACTTGGAGTGTGTCCTCTGGTGCCTGGTGAGAAGTGACTTAAAACCAAAGGCGCGCCCGCACTGGGGGCACGGGTAGGGCTTCTCCCCCGTGTGGCTCCTCTGGTGCCCGATGAGGTTGAACTTCTGACTGAACGCCTTGCCACACTGGGCGCACACGTAGGGCTTCTCCCCCGTGTGCGTCTTCTGGTGTCTGAGGAGGAGGGACTTGAACTCAAAGGCGCGCCCGCACTCCGGGCACTGGTAAGGCTTCTCCTCCCCGTGGGTCCTCTGGTGCCGGAGGAGAGAGACCTTCTTCCCGAAGGCGTGCCCGCACTCGGCGCACAGGAACGGCTTCTCCCCCGTGTGGATCCTCTGGTGCCGAAGGAGGTTGAACTTCTGCCTGAAACTCTGGCCGCACTGCGGACACGCGTAGGGCTTCTCCCCCGTGTGCGTCTTCTGGTGGCCGATGAGGTTGAACTTCTGGCTGAACGCCCGGCCGCACTGGGCGCACACGTGCGGCTTCTCCCCGGTGTGCGTCTTCTGGTGCCTGGTGAGGAGGGACTTGAACTCGAAGGCGCGCCCGCACTCTGCGCACCGGTAGGGCTTCTCCCAGCCCGCGTGGGTCCGCTGGTGCCGGACGAGCGTGGCCTTCTTGAGGAAGGCGCGCCCGCACTCGGGGCACAGGAAAGGCAGCTCCCCCGCGTGCACCCTCTGGTGGCCGAGGAGGTTGAACTTCTGGCTGAAGCCCCGGCCGCACTGGGCGCACACATAGGGCTTCTCCCCCGTGTGCGTCTTCCGGTGCCTGGTGAGGAGGGACTTGAACTCGAAGGCGCGCCCGCACTCGGGGCACAGGTAGGGCCTCACCTCCGCGTGGACCCGCTGGTGCCGGACGAGGTTGACCTTCTGCGTGAAGCCCCAGCCGCACTGGGCGCACACGTGCGGCTTCTCCCCGGTGTGCGTCTTCCGGTGCCGGATGAGCGTGCCCCTCTGGCCGAAGCGCTTCCCGCAGTCGGGGCAGGCGTAGGGCTTCTCGCCCGAGTGCGTGACCTGGTGGGTGAGGAGCCTGGACAGCAGCCGGAAGCCGCGGCCGCACACGGGGCACAGGAAGGGGTTCTCGCCCGAGTGCGCGCTCCAGCGGTGCTGGATGAGCGAGGCCTTCCGGCAGAAGCCGCGGCCGCACTCGGGGCAGGCGAAGGGCTTCTGGGCCAGGTGGGTGCGCTGGTGGAGCAGGAGGTCGATCTGCTGGCGGAAGCCGCGGCCGCACTCGGCGCACGCCAGCGGCCGCTCCCCGGAGTGGACGACCTTCTTGTGGCTGTTGAGCGACGACACGTACATGAAGCCCCGCCCGCACTGCTCGCACACGTGCGGCTTCTCCCCCGAGTGCTTCCGCTGGTGCACGGTGAGCGAGGCCTTGTGGGCGAACTGGTGCCCGCACTCGGAGCACGAGTAAGGCTTCTCCGCCCCGGGCAGCGGCTGCAGCGGCGTGACCTCCGACCCCTGGCAGAAGCCCCGTCCGAAGTCAGGATAGGCCGGGGCCAGCGGGAAAGCTCCGTGGAGGAGCGCTCCGGGCTGGGACTCCCCGGGTCCGCGCCACACCGCGCCCGCCCTGTCGGGGAGCCCTGCCCGCGCCAGGCCGGGGTCCGTCCCGCTGCCCTCCGCCCAGCAGGCTGCGTGGCCCCGGCACGGGCTGGGGCTCGCCCTCTGCGGGAGGGCGTCGCCGCTGTCTGCCTCCTCGCCGCCTCCGCCGCGGGGGCAGCCCGGAGCTTCCGACTGCAGCCTGCTGCCTGCCGGTGGGCCTGGGCAGGCGTGAGGGGGCTGTCCGCTCGGCACACACGCTCGGAGGACTTCCGGACTGGCAAAGGGTATCGGGCAGGGGACATGGGCCTCTGATTCCATCCTGGGTTCTGCCGGAGAGAGAGCACTGGTCAGAATCGCAGAGGTCCCCAACAACGAGGGCACGGACGCGCACGGCAAGCGCCCCTCTACAAGCCTGAGCCTTAGCTCAGCTCTGAACGTCAGGAAAACTAGAACACGGAAAAGCTTCAAGGGCGACGTCCGCTCTGTAAACTGCCGCAATCAAGCTTGCTAACAGCATGAGCGTCCAAGAATACTTGCTGCTCTTAGTGAGTTACCACAAGTTTCTCCAGTGATTTTCTCTGCTGTGAAAGAAAGGGGCCATGTCTGAAGTTGTCTACCTAAAGGTTTCCTCCAGCGGGAGAGGTGGCGTAAGCCAGTGTTAGAGATCTATATGTGATATTAAGCTCAATGTTCCCTCACCCGCAAGAAAACAATAAGCTGGTTGCGCTCACTCAGAAAACGCAGCCGAGTGTGGTGCCATGGCCTCGGCTTATGAGCCTTAAAGGAATCTGGCTCCGGCGGCCTAATTACTCCAAGACGCCGTTGGATTTTCTTCAAGTCCTAAAGGACAAGCGTTTCCCCCTGGTAACAGGGCCAGCCTGGGAGATAACAAGCCAGTACACTGCTCCACTACAATTGGTCCCTGTCCACTTGGACCTGATTATAAAAAACCTGATGAGCTCTGACTGAGCACCAATGTCCAGCCTCTCCAGACCCACCTGACCCTTCCCGACGAATACAAAGCAAGACGTTTGTGAACCACCTGCAAGAACAGGGCTGCCAACTGGTTTATAGGCTGTTGGACCACGGTCAGTTATTAACGCGCACCACCTGAATCTCCTTCCACACCAGACAGGAACACATCACACAGTCTAAAACACACTGTGAACCTTTAACCAGAGACGTTTGCAGAGCCCCCGTTACACCCGTGATTCACTTGCCCTGATCTAAAAACACTGAGGCATTTAGTAATAGTAACTGCCATGAAGCTTCCTGCCTAACCCCTAAGTTCCTCTGTTCTCTCTCTCAAGAAAACTGCTCAAAGAGCTGCCTCTCTGGGTGTCTCTACTGGCTGAACAGGCTCTACATGGCAATTACTAATGCTGTTCCTTGAGGCCTTCAACTGTGAAAGTTAACTTTCAGCCTTGGTACCCAGGTCTGGCCCCCAGAAGTGGTCAGCATCTCATCAGGCAGTGTGTTCTAACTCGGCTCACTAACTCACTTTACTAAGCTAGTTTGTCCATATTAACAGAACTCCTGGCAGTTGTCTGCATTCCCAGCTATCAGCTATTTATAGCTGACCAGCAGGGCACATTTGATATACACAAGGCCCTGGGTTCAATGTTTAGCATGGAACAACACACAGTTTCTGTAATTCTGGAGTTTTTAACAGCTTTAAGAACATACTGCTGACTACTTGCCTGAGATTTCAACGGAAGAAAAGGTTCCCCTGCCGTGTCTTACCAATATTCCCACTTGGTTGTAATGTTGTAACTTGTTAACCTGCTTAAACTCTGTAGACCCTCTCTTGAGACCTCCTTTAGTTCTCAGCGTAACTGTAGCTCCTCTGTTAACATTCTCTTGTTAACACCTACTTTTGTCTTTGACAAAGCAGAAGCCATTTTGTTTTTAAGTCTCCATTTTGATCATAAGGTGAAATTAAGTTCAGGTTCTCAGGCCCTATGAGCCTGAAAAGGGAGTACAATTCAATAGTTCAATACTTGCTGCTTAGATAAAACAATAGATGTAAGTGCATGTTCTGCGTGATTCAAAGGTAAATATATGTTCTGTTAGAGTTAAGACCGCAACATCCTGCTATATTCCTTCCTTCTGGAATGATGGGGAACTGGAAAGTCCCCAAGCCTATATCCTAGCCAATCAGCTTCAAATGTTTTATCTAGCTATCAAGATACAATGTACTTGAAATGTTTTAACTGGTCAAAATAATGTAATGCTGGCCCCCCACCCCACTTCCTACACCTGGTGACCTCCTTAGCTCGCTATGGTTTTTCGTTTTTAAAAATAAAAAATTAAAAAAAACAAAAAAACAAAACCTGTCTTAAAGACAGACTGGCTTCACTGTCTCCCAAGACCGGATGTGGCCCTAACCGGACAGTTCTTTGTTCAGTGTTCATTAAACTTCCATCAATCTAGTATGAGTGGTCAGTGTACACCTATTCCTGAACCCATAACAATAAATAGTAGTCATGTCCACTGTTCATCTTTCTGTGTGACTTCAGCAGCAGGGGAGTTGTTAAGAGTCTGGTGTTAATGTGGCCACTGCCCTAAACACGCCCACCATCGCCCTTAGGGGAGGCGTAGCTCCTGATAAGGCTATCTGCCCTCCTAGTTCACTTGGCAGTGAAGCAATGTGGCAAATTTAAACTGAAAGTGATGGGACTTGCCTTCTTTAACGTGAGTCAGAGCTAGAGAGACTGCTCAGAGGTTAAGAGCACTGGCTGTTCTTCAAAAGGTCCTGAGTTTAATTCCCAGAACCATATGGTGGCTTACACCATCTATAATGAGATCCAGTACCTTCTGGCGTGCAGGCAGAACACTGTATACATAATAAATGAGTGACTCTCATCCCATCATGCACAGGTCTGAAGAGGACTAAATTCCCAATAAGAGAATTCTGCTCCTGAGTGCCTTCCTACTTGAAATAGTTTCCCACTTTCCCAACTCGAGCACAAGTCCTGGCCCACAGTTCTCTGAGCTGCTTCACTCCTTGCAGAGCTGCAGCTGGCTGACTGCAAATCCGGACGACTGTCAGACCCCTTCACTGTGTGAGCCAATTCTCTGGGAACACCTCCATCCTTCTGGAACTTGTGCTATCTCTCTGAAGAAAAATAGATTTTTGGTACCAATAAGTAAATATTTCTGTCACATGGAAAAATGTGGCAGTGCTTCAGAACTGGGTGACAGAGGCGAGGATACACTAAAATGGGCCTAGGGGAAGTGTTGATAGGAGATGTGGAAAACAACTTTCTGAACTGTGTTCCAGTTTTTGTGGAAGAGTACACTTAATGCACAGTGAAATATTTAGCTGAGAAATTTCCTGAGCAAAGCATTACAGCTGCAGCTTGGATCGTCCTTACCACTTTAGTGTAAGATGCAAGAAATTAATTGAATTGTTAAAAGGAATCTTTTCAGCTTATGCAGAATGGAAAGACAAGAAGGCTTGTTCTGAAGAAAATACCGAGTATCACTAGCCAGCCTTTCGTGCACCATATAGCCACCCACAATGGCAGAAGCCTACCACAGACACGGGGTCCCGGCCCAGAAACACTGCCAGGTGGACCAAAAGAGAACAGGAAAAAAAAAAAAAAGAGAGAACAGGAAAATAGGATAAAGCGGAGAAAGGCTGCCGTACTTCTTGGAGTCTAAAGCTCTTGTCAGAAGAACTTGGTTTTTTAATATTACGGATTTTGTAAATTAGGCTTTTTCATCATGGCACCTTCATATATGTATGTCATGACACCCCCTCGATTCCTCACCCACCATCTTCCCTATACTCCCTCTAGCTGGTTCTTCCTTCCAACTTCTGCTTTATTACGTATATTCCGTTACTTTCTCCATTTCCCACTTCCCTTAAGTGTATCCTCCACTTTACAATTGATCCCATTAAGTTTTGTGACACACAGAGAGGAGAGACTGTGTGTGTGAGCACTCTGGCTTATTTTGTTTAACAATGATTCTCAGTCACCTTCCTCAACCTGCAAATCCCTTTGGTATATACCTAGGAGTGATACAGCTGAGTCCTACAATAGCTCTACTTCTAGTTTCTTGAGGACCTGTCATACTGATTTCCGTAGAGGCTGCATGTGTTTATATTCTCATTGGCTGTACATAGGGGTTCCTTTTCCCCACATCCTCACTAGCATCTATGCTGTTTTGTTTTGTTTTTCTGATAATAACCATTCTGATGGAGGTAAAATGGAATCAAATGCAACTTTAATTTGCAACTCCCTGATGGCTAAAGATGTTGCATACTTCTCCACACATTTACTGCTCACTTGTTTTTCTTCCTTTGACAACTGTCTATTCAGTTCATTTACTAATTTGGTCCTTTACTAGTTCATTTTTAGCAGACCTATTTTGATGTAAACATGCACTGTGCTTCAAAAAAAAAAAAATAGAGAATGGCCCCCCAAATCAAACCAGTGTCATTTCCACCACAGAGATAGTCCACAAGTAGACAAGCAGACCTCCACACTGGTTTCAAAGGGAAAGGTACCACAGTAGTTCTGAGAAGGCATTTGACCCCTGGCTGATGGCATGGGATGGGGCTTGGCAGAATTCTAGGAATGGAACCCCTGACACAAGTTGATGGAGGACCTGGCCATTGCCTCTGTGAGCCTGAGGGCAGAGCAAGCCCAAGAGAATTATCTTTGAGCCATAACCATTTGTCTACCTACTTTGTGTTTTGCTTGGTGTCTATCCCCCTTTCTTCTGTCAATGGTAGAATAGAAATATCCTAACCCTAACACACAAGGCTCAAAGAAAAGCCCACAGAGGGAAGCTGCCCGAGTACACCTATCAACATTTTACCACCTGAAGTAGAGAAAATATTACCTTTGTTTAGGTTTCATTATCTTCTGTACTCTCATCATACTTTTTAAAGAAATTGTAGTAAGGTAAAAACTTATGATTTAATCATCAGTATAGCTGCAAAAAAACTTTAAAAGAAAAGGACATTCTACTGCAGTGCCATATTTGTACTCTTTAAGTTTTTTCTTCTTCTTTCTAATGCTTAGGCTCCAGGACTTCTCTTTTTTTAAACGGGTTTTTTTTTGTAGTCGTTGTGATTCTGGGTTTGAATTTTGATGTTAGGGATGAGAGCAGAATTACTTCTTTTACCATGTCCATCTTTTTGAAGAATTTCCTTACCTAGAGTTTAATATACCATGTGTCAAAAATTCTTTATTTCTGTGAATAGCAATGAATCATTTTCCTTTTATTTCTCGATAGTTTTGAGATAGTTTTGCTAGGTGTAGAATTTACAATCCTTTCGGCACTTGAAGAAAATTCCTGTCATGTCCTCATTGACCTTATTTGTTCAAATGACAAATGCTCTATAGCCAAGACATTTTCCTCTCCTGAAGCCTTCCAGATTTTTCTTCTATTTTTAGTTTCTAAAACTGTATTTATCATGTGTCTCAGTGTTTATGCATATAAGCTTATTTACTGTTATTATGGCTTTTTGTGTCTATATGTTTATATATTTCAGTAAGTATTCAACCATGGTTTTCTCAAATATTTTTCAGTATCCTTTCTGGATTCTGATGACACAAGTGCTCTCTTGTTTTTATCCCAGAAGTCTCTGAAACCAGTCTTTTTTCAGTCTATTTCCTTTCTTTGTTCATTTTTATGACATTTTATTGTTCTGGAATCAAGTTCACTGATTCCACTTGGATGTAGTGGTGCGTATATTCAGTCCCACCACTCAGGAGGCAGACAAGTGGATCTAGACAAGTCAGATCAAGGCCGCACAGGTTACAGTGAGACCCTGTCTCAAGATACACGACAAGTTCACTAATTCCATTCTGTGTTCTAACTCTATAGCTAAGCCCCTCCAGTGAGTTCACACTCTCTATTGTATATTTCAGTAACGCAACTGCAGATGTATCTTTTGTGTAAAATATTTCTTTGCTGATATTTTTATACTCTTTTTATTTGTTTCAAGAGTACATTGTAAAAAGTGGAAAATCCTTAGAATGCTTAATTATTCAGAATTAGGGATGGTACCCGAGGCCTTGTGCATTCAAGGCCAGCGCTTTAACCATGAACTGTGCCCCTTTCATTTTGAAGGTCTCCAGTTGTTCAGGTTGGCCCTGAACTCACTCTATAACCCAGGCTGCGATTCTTGCCATTATTCTACCTCAGCCAAGTGCTAAATTCACGTCATGCATCCACCAGGCCCTGAAAGGTAGTTCTAATCTCTGACTTCCCTACACACCCCTGCCACTTCATCAGCTTAATGTCACTGTCATCTTCAGGTTGCAATTTCCCGGCTCTTGGTGTGATGGGTGATATTTTTATTCTATCCTGATTGGCTTTCATGGTAGGAGAATCTGGCCCTTACTTCAATGTCACTTTAAAGAAATACACGCTCTCTTCATGTCCAGATACACTCAGTAAGTAAATCAGGGCACATCAATATGAGGTAATTCTACTCACCAATAAAAAATGAGTTATCGGTGTACACCACATAGATAAAATGCAAAGTCATTATGCTAAGTGTAGAAGACAGTTATATCCTATATGAATCAATTTACACCAATTCTAGAAAATTCAAATGAATATATCATCAGGGAAATGGGTTAGAAAGGAGGTAGTTGATAGCTTCTCAGGAAGGGTGTGAGTTTCCTTAAGGGTGTTTATTTAGAAGCAAAGCAAAACAAAATAAGAATAAGAGTGTGGTGGCACACACCTTTAATCTCAGCTCTCAGGAGGCAGGGGCAGGCAGAGCTCTCTGCAGGCAAAGTTGCCTGGTCTACAAAGGGAGTCCCAGGCCAGCTGGTGCTTTGCTACACAGTGAGCGCCTGTTTCAAAAACCTTTTTAAAATGCCATTAAAAGCAAAAATAAATTAATGGAAAAGACACAGATCACATGAGAGGATATAAATTTTAGCCACCTATACCCCGATGAGATTCCAAAAAAGATGGGGAAATGGGGTCAGACAGCATCAAATGTTGGTAAGGATGTGTTAAAAAAATTCCCACACTGCCACTGGAGCGCATGTTCCTGCCTGCTTCAGGAAGTTTCGATGCACTTGTGTATGGACCAGCTACTTCAGTCCTAGCTCTGGGTCTTGAGTTCTTCCAGTGTTCATACAAATACAGAGTAGCATTATTTAATTGCCAGGAATTAGGGAGTACATAGCAGGAGTGGGTAAGTTTAAAAACGTGCAAAAAAGAACGTGCTGTGCTAAGGGACGCACGGGGCAAGATACAAAGGCAACTGGTGGTCACGGAAAGTAAACAAGGAATCAAGCAGGGAAGCAGGACAGTCCCGGAAGCAGCAAGCCTACCCCCTGGTGGACAATGTGCTCCTCGCCCACAGGGCTGCCAGAGTACTACAGTTCTTTTGCTGTAATCCTAAGCCATCACTAAGAAAACAAAGCTATGGGAATGTACACGGTGGGTGTGATGTACAGCAGTTTCTGGGTCACGAACAGAAACTGAGGGAAGTTCAGCAGGAGCAGGCTAGTCTGTCTCCAAGGGCAGGCACTGTTCTGAAGATCAAAAGCGAGACTGACAGAGGCACCAGAGGAGGAAATCCTCAATGTGCCGCTGGAGCCAAGCAGAGAAATAGACCGCCAGAGGTGCCCCCTCCTGGCAAGCATGAGGGGGTGGGAGGAGGAGGAGGCAGCGCTGCACAGCCCTACCTGGAGCCTGGGGGGGGGGGGGCTTCCTTGCCTACTGAGCTCCTCACTGCCTTGCGTCCTCATCTGCCCAGTCCTCCACTTACCCAGACAAAGGTCCAAAAGGCAACCACTGCCATCTCTCCAGGGTTCCGCCCCTTGCTCCAGCTGTGTGATGAGTTTCGGTTTAGAAAACACAATTCCTATGGACAAAAAACAAAACCAAGGTGACCTTAAGCTAGTGTCTTAAGAGGCTATAACAGAGCTCCAGGCCAATGTAGGAAGCGTCACACACCCGGAAGGGAAGTATAGAAGTATATATTCTGATATAAGGATATCAGAATACTGAGAAAGAATGAGCCAGGGCAGGGAATCCTGGCCCAGGAGCAGGGTAATCATGCCCTGTTCTCGAGTAAATAAAGTTCCCCCCATATTTGAAGGGTGCCGCCTAGAAAGAAGCCTAGAAACACGCCGTCAGTCATTGAATGTGCATGCGCGCGCACGCGCACACACACACACACACACAACTTCACTACCAAACATGGACATTCTAAAGAACAGGGCACACTGGCCACTCCAGACACTTTCGATGCCCACAGGTAAACTCCAAGGCCTGACACAGCCCCCTTACCCAGGGCCACCAGGTGGCTGTAGTTCTCCAGCATCACCTCCCTGTACAGGGTCCTCTGAGCTGGACTCAACAGCTCCCACTCCATCTGGCTGAAGGCCACAGCCACATCATGGAAGGCCATTAATGCCTGCAACAAAAACACATTCCTGCTCATCAAAGCAGCCGAGCTAAAACCAGTAACCAGTTCAGAACCAAGGCAGGAAGAACGGGATGAGCCAATACAACAGCATGACATTTACAGGTCCTGCTTTGAACCCTCAACCCTACCTATGTACGCTGAAGACAACATCCACAGAGGGATGACAGCTCGATACACAGAACCTAGAAATGCTGGGCTTCCTGTTTTGCTCTGTTGATCTAGGCACATGCAAGACCTTCAAAACCCACACCTTTAATTGTTGCAGCTATATACCAGCGCTTAAAATCACGAAGACTGAATCCGTCCACGTTACTTTTTTATTTTTCTTTATTTGAAGTGGTTCTTGCTGTGATGTTGATGTTGGCTCAACTCCAGACTGTCCTACCACAGCTTCCTGAGTAGATGGGGTTAGATACACACCACTGGGCTGTTAAACTTCACTTACAAAATTACATAGCTATTTTTAAAAACCTTGTTGGGTCTTATACAAATTTCAGAGTAATCTTGTATGTACCTACAAACAACCACAAAAACTGTTATAACTTTAGCAGAATTTCTGTTTGCCATTGTCTTAGTTAGGTTTTCTTTGTGCAATAAAACACCATGACCCAAAAGCAAGTTGAATAGGAAAGAATTTATTGGGCTTACACTTCCACACTGTAGTCCATCACTGAAGGAAGCCAGGACAGGAGCTCAAACAGGGCAGAAACCTGAGGCAGAGGCCGTGGAGAAGTGCTGCTTACTGGCTTGCTCCTCAGGGCTCGCTCAGCCTGCTTTCCTATAGAACCGAGGACCACCAGCCCTGGGATGGCTCCACCCACAATGGACTTAGCCCTCTCCATCAATCACTAACCAAAAAAATGTTAAACTGGCTGCCCACACCCCAATCCCACGGAGCCACTTTCTCAATCAAGGTTTCCTCCTCCCAGACAACTAAAGCTTGCTTGTGTCAAGTTGACACAAACCTACTCAACACACCATGTGTTTTTACATGCTGAACACCGACCTCTTTACTATGTCACATCTTCCAGTCCTTACCATATTGGATATGTGTACTAGGATTTCTTTAACAAAATGTAGTTCCCAGCATTACAATCCTACAAGTATTTCTATTGCATTCCACTTCAGGGTTTCTGTCTGCATTGTGTGTGTGACTTTAACGGCCTGCACTTTGGATGCATATCCACTGCTACAATATACATGGTATGTGATATAGCTGTTTGTATACAACCTGTCCGAACTCACTCACAAGCCCTAAGAAGATTTTCTGCTAAGTTCCCTGAGATTTTCTACGGGAACTATCATGTGATATGGATACAGAAATTGTGGTACATTTACACAATGGAATACTACTCCACAATTAAAAACAAGGAAATCATGAAATCTGCAGGCCAATGAATGGAACCAGAAAAAAATCATCCTGAATGAAGTAACCCAGAGGCAGAAAGACACATATGATATGTACTCATCTATAAATGGATATTAGCCATATAATATAGGATAAACATACTAGAATCTATAATCCTAAAGAAACTAAACAACAAGGAGGACCCTAGGAAAGATGCTTAATCCTCATTCAGAAGGGCAAACAGGATAGACATCAGAAGTAGGAGAAGACAAGGAACAGGACAGGAGCCTTCCACAGAGGGCCTCTGAAAGACTCTACCCATCGAAGTATTCAAACAGAAGCTGAGACTCATAGCCAAACTTTGGGCAGAGTGCAGGGAATCTTATGGAAGAATGGGGAGATAGAAAGACCTGGATATGACAGGAGCTCCACAAGGAAAGCAACAGAGCCAAAATACCTGAGCACAGGGGTCCTGCAGAGACCAATACTCTAACCAAGGACCATGCATGGAGAGGACCTAGACCGCTCTGCTCAGATGAAGCTCATAGGCTGCTCAATTTCCAGTGGGTTCCCTAATAAGGGGAACAGGAGTTGTCTCTGACATGAACTCAGTGGCTGGCTCTTTGATCACCTCTCCCTGTGTGGTACAACCTTGCCATGCCACAGAGGAAGACAAGCATCCTGTCCTGATGAGACTGGATAGGCTAGGGTCAGAGGGAAGGAGAAGAGGACCTCCCCTATCAGTGGACTGGGAGAGAGACATAGGAGGCAAAGAGGGAGGGTGGGTGGGACTAGGAGAAGAGGGAGGGGGCTACAGCCAGGATACAAAGTGAATAAATTGTAATAAATAATAACTGAAAAAGAAAATAACATTTTTAGTTTGTAGTTAATCATATGTATGTTTTTCCCTGCTTTTTTTGCTCTTGCTAGGACTTGTAGCATTACATTGAGTGAATGTAGGAAACAGACATTCTATGCTTGTCCTCAATCTTAAAAAAGAATAAATTCAGCTTTTCGCCGTTAACATGTAAACATCAGGATAGCTATTATCAAAAATCGAGGACAAGTCATCAAAGTGCAGAGAAATTGAAACTCTGCACTTTGCACGCTACTGGTGGGAGCATAGATGACATTTCTATAAAGATGGTTGATAGCACCTCAACAGCAATCCATCTGTGTGTGCACAGCCTCCAAAAACTCCAAAAGCACAAACCCAGAGCACTGCAGAACGTTTGTAACAGCGCTGTTCCCAGCCGCTAAAGGAGGAAACAACCCCAGGTGGCCAACAACCAATGGCGAATGATGAACTGTAGCACACACAGACGTTCGAAAGGAAATTGTGGTTTGTGTGTTTTAGAATATGCCTTGAAAATATTACAGCAAGAAAAGTATGCCAATCACGAAAGGAGAAACGCTGTTCTTTATTTATCTAAAGGATGGAGGTGATGGCTCCCCAACACTGTGAAGGTACCTGAGGGCACTGAATTGTTGGTTTAAAACAGTAAAAATGGTAAACTCTAGTATGACAGCGCATATTAACCCCACAGCCTAACAAGCAGTGGTCAGGTGTAGGATTCAATGACATGATAGTCTTTAACCGTCTTTTGAACTGCATTTGTCTGGTTTGGGTATCCAGATAATACCTGTTCCATAAAGGGGATTTTAAAGGTGTTCGCTCCTCGTCTAGTGTTTGGGGTATGGTGCAGCAGTGAGGCTGTCTTTTAATGTGTGGTAGAATTCTAAAAAAAAAAAAAAGTACACCTAAAGAAGCTAAACAAGGAGGTCCCAGGGTAAGATGACCAGTCCTCACTTAGAAAGACAAATGGGATGGACATTGGAAGTAGGAGGAAACAAGTAACAGGACAGGAGTCTACCACAGAGGGCCTCTGAAAGACTCTACCTAGCAGTGTATCAAAGCAGATGCTGAGACCTTGGGCAGAATGCAGGGAATCATGAAAGAAAGGGGAGTTAGTAAGATCTGGAGAGGACAGGAGCTCCACAAGGACCAAATATATCTGGGCACAGGGGTCTTTTCTGAGACTGATTCTCCAACCAAGGACCATGCATGGATATAACCTAGAACCCCTGCCCGGATGGAGCCCATGGCAGCTCAGTATCCAAGTGGGTATCCTAGTAAGGGGAACAGGGACTGTCTCTGACATGAACTCAGTGGCTGGCTCTTTGACCTCCCTACCCCTGAGGGAGGAGCAGCCTTGCTAGGCCACAGAGGAGGACATTGCAGCCAGTCCTGAAGAGACCTGATAAGCTAGGGTCAGATGGATGGGGAGGAAGGCCTCCCCTATCAGTGGACTGAGAGAGGGGCAGGGAGGAGATGAGGAAGGGAGGGTGGGATTGGGACGGAATGAGGGAAGGAGCTACAGCTGGGATTCAAAGTAAATAAAATGTAATTAATATTAAAAAATAAAAATTTAATTTAAAAATGTGCAGTAAAAAAAAGAATTTTACAAAAAAAGAGACTGGCAGTGATACAAATTGAGTTGAACCTTTGGATCATCAGAGGTGGTGCTGCCATCTACCCTCACGCATGGAAAGCCCTCCTCCCCCCTCAGGACTAGCTGAGCCTCCCCAGTCAGTCTGGAATGGAGCACATTCAGAGGCTATAAACAAACGGCCTATTTCTTGAGCTCTTCTAATTTCTTTTCTTTTTCCCAGAAACGTTTTCATTTCCAGAAATGTTTTGGCTTCCTGGGTTAAATTTATTACCAAGAATTTTTTCAGTACCATTTTAAAGGAATTTTTTTTTTTTAATTTTTCTCATTCGGACAGATCAGGTGTTAAGACACAGAGACCGAACTGGAGTTTGTGTGTTGATTGTATGACTGCCCATTATTTCGTTACTTTGCCAACTCTAACCATCTTTTTGGCTGTGGGAATGTTTCTCAATTCGCAAGGCTCTAACAAAATGCCTGAAATTTTTCTTTCTCACGGTGCTAGAGGCCAACTAAAAGTGCTGTCTATGCTGGGCTCGGTTAAGACAGTGTCTTATCCTCCACAGACAATACCATCCTCATAGGGAAGAGGAGACAGAAAGCAAGAAGTTACCGGTAAAGCCCTTTATTCGATCACTCTTCTGTCAGAGTCCTGACCCGCCCCCCCCCCCATGACGTACTCTCCTCCCAAAGATCCTATCTTGATTCAACATGTGAATCTTGGGTCAAACATTTAGACTACAGTAAAGTATTTCACGCTTTTAACTGGATCAGGTTTCAAGTGAAGAGACAATTTTACTCTTCCTTAGCAATGTGGTGGCTCACTGCCTGGTGTCAGCTTCAGATAAGAGACCAACTTAATCACACTGACGATCTCTTGTGGAAGAGGGATCACTCCCCATTTAACGGCTTCCAAAGTTCTGTCTTTGGTTATGACAATCGTATGGATTTTTGTAATGTTCATCTCATCTGGTGTTTGTGAGCTTCTTATGTGTAGACATCTTTCTTCATAGGCTTTCTAGAAATCATTTTTTCACCTCCTCCATGGACCTTCCATTCCCGCTGTGTACATCAGTACACTGGATAGTGCCCAGCTCCAGTTTTATTTATTACTCTGTCTTGTATTCTTTGTTTGCTCTTTCGAATGGACACAGTTGGCCTGTCTTCAGTCTTCAGCATGTCTACTCGAT